CCCCCCGGGCGACGCCCCGCCAGGCCGCCGACCTCCGCGGGGACCCGCCGTGCCCCCAACGAGGTACCACCCCGAGGCGCCCCCACACGGTGTCCCCGCCGCGCCCCCGCCTTCCGTCGGACACGCGGGGACCCTGAAAGCCCCCGCTTTCCTCACTTTTGTCTCTGGCAGTTCCTTGCACAGTTGATGATCTTTCTTATTAGCGTCGTCAGTTCCATATTCTGCGGAATGTGGGGAAAGTCGAGCTGGATGCTGTGACGCTTGCTGTATCGGTAGGTTTTAAAATTTTTATCTTTATTTGGTTTGACAACATGGGCATGCCGTGGAACTTGAGTTATATTATGTTTCGACATGTCTTCCTTTACAGGGTGGGACCTTGACCAAGGGTTTCTTACCTTATCTTTCGCTTTGAAAAGAGATCATGCTAACTACTTAGAAAAAGTGTTTTCGGTATTAAACCATCTCCGAGGTGGCCCAGCTCTGATTACTGAGGGACCAGGTATCGCAAGAATTTATAGCAATTAGATAAATTGTGCTGGTAAAACTAAAACTGCTATTTCCTGTTACAAAAGCAAACCAAAGACTGTTTAGGTAATTTTAGGTTTTCTGCAGTTAGTTTGAATGACAATTCATTTAAGTCCTCTATGTCACTCTTGTAATCAAGTGTCTCCCTTCCCCGTGGATTGAAATTACTTCTCCTTTGATGTCTTCAGCCCTGAGTTTTTGCTGGTGACGTAGTGAAGTTTGCCTCTTGCACTTCATCCAGGCTTTTAAGGAAGGTGAAAAGTACTAATGCTGATGAGGGCAGGTGGTGCGTCCCAGTCTCAGAAAATGTCCCTCTGTCCCCATCTAAGGTGTATATATGCCCTAAGATTATGGCGGAGCCTCAGAAGTTTTCTTTCAGCTTTACGGTTAAGATGACTTTGGTATGTAGAAGTGAACATTTTGCTTTAAGGTCTGTTCCTGGGTGAACTAATTGGGGTTAAAGGATATTTCTCCTTACTTTGAAAGCTTAGGTTAGGCCTCTAGAGTCAAGAAAGAAGAGAAGCTTTGTGTACAGGCTGTTCAGTGTCTCCGCCAAGGATGCGCTTGACTCCACCACACAGGGTGGCTTGGACCTGGCACACATACTCCTGGGCACTTTGCTGGCTCTGAACAGACATTAACAGTGGGCATTTATCTGAAACCTGAAGGGGCATGTTCTCCAGTGTCTCCACTGGGCGCGGCATTGGGGTCCACATTTTCCTATCACTGCTTCCAAACCACTACTCCACAGCACCCTTTAAAAATTTTTTTAAATTAATTTTTTTGTGTATATAATTGACATATAATAGTATTAGTTTTAGATGTACAACATAAGGATTTGATATTTATGTGTATTACGAAATGATTAATAAGTCTAGTTAATATCCGCCACTGTACACAGATTTCTTGTAAGACTTTTTAAGATTTACTTTCGTAGCAACTTGCAAATATGTAGTACAGTATTGTTAACTACTGTCACCATGCTGTACATTTCATCCCCATGATTTATTTTATTATTGAAAGTTGGTACCTTTTGACTGTTTAAGCTCACCCACCCCCTGCCTTTGGCAACTACTGTTCTGTTCCCTGTATCTGTGAGGCTGGAGTTGTTTGTTATTTTTGTTTTAGATGCCACATGTAAGTGAGATCATACAGTATTTGTCTTTCTCTGACTTATTTTACTAAGCATAATGCCATGTTGGTTGATAATGTCTACATGTTCCATTGCATATATGTACCACATTTTCTTTATCCATACATCAATTGACAGACACTCAGATTGCTTCCATATCTTGGCTATTGCAAATAATGCTTCAGTGAACATGGGGGTGCAGATATCTTTTTGAGTTAGTGTTTTCATTTTCTTTGGGTAAAAACCCAAAAGTGGTATTGTTGGATCATATGGACTTCCGTTTTTAATTTTTTGAGGCACCTCCATACTATTTGCTATAGTGGCTGCACCACTTTACCTTCCCACCCACAGTGCACAAGGGTTCCCTTTACCCCACATCCTTGCCAACAACTCTTGTCACACAGATGGGGGTGAGGTCATAGCTCTGTCACACAGATGGGGGTGAGGTCATAGCTCATTGTTTTGATTCTCATTTCCTTGATGGTTAGTGATGAGCATTTTTTCGTACCTGTTGACTCTTTGTGTATCTTCTTTGGAAAAACATCTATCTGATCAGTTCCTCTGCCCATTTTTTCAATCAGATTGTTGTTATTTTGTTTTTTGCTGTTGAGTTTTATGAGTTCTTTATATACTTTGGATATTGCCCCTTTGTATGTGATTTGCAGGTATTTTCCCCCATTCTATAGTTTGCCTTTCATTTTGTTGATGCTTTCCTTTGCTGGGTGGAAACTTTTAGTTTGATGCCATCCCACTTGTTATTTTTCCTCTGTGCCTTAGCTTTTAGTGTCAAACCAGAAAAATCATCACCAAGACCAATGTCAAGGGACTTACCACCTGTGTTTTCTTCTATGAGTTTAATGATTTCAGGTCTTATGTTCAAGTCTTTAATCTATTTTGAGTTAATTTTTGTGTAGGGTATGAGATGGTGGTCCAGTTTCATTTTTTTACATGTGGTTGTTCAGTTTTCCCAGCACCACTTATTGAAGAGACAGGCTCCCCTTTCACAGTGCCCATGTTTGGACAAATACTGTTCTGTACTTTTCCCATTGATGGCATTTACGGCCAGTTTGTGGCCTCTTCATGTTCATGGAAGACCTTGGCACCTGAGTGCCCACCTCCTTGGTTCTGTGGGCTCCACCTCCCTGCATCTCACTGGCTTTCAGGACCCTCCAAATCACATAAGGCCTCACACCTTGTACATTGTCATCCCCGGCATAGACCCACAGTAGAAGTTTTAAATTTTCCTGCTTGCAGCTTAATATCCCTGGAGCCCCGTCAAATCCCCACACCCCATCCTGTCTGCTCTTCCACCTCACAGGGTATGCCCATACTGTGATCCCTCCATCTTTCCTTACTCTGCAGCCCCGGCCCAGCCCCCTTCCAGAATCCTGGGCCAAATGGAGTGTGCCTGACCTCTGCTGACCTACCCATCAGCACAGCCACCCGGCAGCACCACTCCGCTGCTCAAGATGAGCCCTTTGTGCTCAGGAACCATCTTTTCTCCTCCAGCCTCTTCCGCTTAACTAGTTCCACTAGATTATGATAAACATGCTTAAGGCTCTGCTTTTCTGTGAACTGTCTCTGTCTCTCTGTCTCCTCCTTGCCCAGCCCCCTCTCTGGCCTCTGTCTACCTAGCTCTTTGTCAGGAAGGCTACATTGTGTCTTCATTTCCTTTTCTCCCCACCCCCAGCTGGCCTCTATTTCCCACCCCTCCATTTGGCCTGCTCTGATGAAAGTTGTCATCACTCCTCCCACCACCCATCTCCAGAGGACTCGCCTTACCCGGCCTCTCTGCCTCTCGCTGACCTGGGACTCCTCTGTGCCTGCATTTCCATTGCCACCCTTCTGGTAGTTGTACTTCTCTTTCTCTTCTCCTTGTCCTGTTTGTTGATGCCTCCCAGATTTGTGTCTCTATCCTTGACCTGGGTATCCTCTCCTGTCTCCACCTGCTTAGGATACCATGGCTTGAATATGCCAGGAACTCTGCACCCTCAGGAAGTCTAAAGCTGTAGTGACCACCCTCCCCTGGGAGTACCCTGGACACTCCCTGTTTTAACACCATGTCTCCATCAGTCAGCAAGCCCTGCTAACTTTATTTCCACATTTCTTAAAATCACTCCTTTTCTTCTGATTCCTGCTACCACTCTCCCAGCCCAGGTTTCATCTTTCTTCCCATTCCGGTGGTCTCAGCGCCTAACCTGCCTCCCTTCCTCCAGCCGTGACTCCCTCCTGCCTTTTTCCATTCTACAGCCAGAATGGGTTTTAACCTTAAAGCCAATGATGCCACTTCTCTGCTTAACACCCTTCCCCTGTTCTCTTTTCATCTGACAGTGCAGTTTGAGCATCTTGGCCTTCTGTTTGTGGGGGCCTGCTGCCTTCTGTCACTTGCATGTGTGGTTGAGGCCTGTCCTAGACACAGCCTTGGGGCATGTGCAGAAAGCCTTCCTGGAGAGCCCAGGCAGGGCCCTGAGCTTCTCCATGCCCCTGGTGTCCTGGGAACACCTCCCTGGGTGCCTCCTGTGCTGTGCCAACATTCTCTGTCTCCATGTGCTCTCTTGCTGACTGGCTCATACTAATTTTTGCTCAGCTTTGTTCCTGCCACAGATCTGGCGCAAGGAGATATTTCAGAGAAATGCATAATGCAGAACTGCCTGTGAGCCAGCTCTCACCTAAGTATCTCCTGAACACATCTTCTTCTCCACCCCACTTTATGCTTTTCCATAAAACTTCACCAGTTGTGTGTGCATGGAGTCCCATGACTCCTGTCCTCTCATCTGTTTCATGAAAACTATTTTAAAACATCTTGGGGAGGGGGGCTAAGTTAAGATTTTATATGTGGTTTGTGGTAATTCTGTCCCTCTTTTCCCCCAGATCACCCAATGACAGGAGGGTGAAAAAGAGTTGCTAGTTATTGAAGTAAAAATAATAGGAATAAATACAAATCTAAACTTAACACAGATAGGCCTGAAAAGGGTATGTGGGAAGGTTGGTATGTTCCCGAGATTGGAATTTCAGTAGATAAGTTCTTTGAAAAGAGGGATCTGTGTCTGTCTTCCCTGGGCAATAGATGGTGACATTTTGCTTTTAATCAGCTATTAAACTGTAACTAATTGCAAAAAGGACAATAGGCTCACTTTCAAGAAAAGTCTATGAAAGCCAGATACAGTTAACGATTTTCTTACCTTATGAAAAATTCTCTCTGTATTATGAATGTATTTACAAAGTTTTGTGTGCTTTTAAAATAAAAGAACATTTATTTATATTCCACATTGTTCCACAAAGAATTTGAGTTGGTTTATTTAAAAACAGTACTTTCAGTACAGAAGTATAACTAAGTAGCTAGTAGACTAGGGTCAAAGAAACATGAATGGAAAAACAGTCAAGCAGGGGGTAGTGAGTGCCTGAGGCTGCGTATGGGGAAGGGCAGCCTTTCTTGAGACTGAGCCATAGAGGAATTTATCTGTGGAGTTCATGAAGTGGACACTCTGATGTAGAGATGGTGTCCTTGGTAACTTGCTACAAGAGATACAATAGCAATTTTATTATATAGTTAGCCATTGTAAGGGGAGGCACCATGTCAGCACAGGCTGGTGAAAGCTTGTGGGCTCTAGCCAAAGCAGTCTGACTGACAGGGCTTAGTCAGGGGATAGACCTGAAGCTTAGAGCAAGAATAACATCCCAAGCCAACCAAAGGCAGTCAGCTCAGCAAAAAAAAAGGCTCATGTGTGGCTTTTTCTGAAGTACGAAACTTTTCAGAAAGTAGTGTGTTGCATCTTTCTCTTTTCCTGGAAAGTTGAGGAGTTTTTGGTCCTTTAGCTGTGACGCTGCTCTGGGGCAGAATCCAGCGAGGAAGGTATCATGGTGTGGGTACCTCCTCCTGCTCCCGGGACAGGGCCCAGGGCTCACTGTGTGGTCTGTCACTCCCTCCTGGGGGCTGGGGTTGTCGTCTTGGTCATCCATGAAGTTAACCTCCTAGGGTTGGCAGTGTGGCTGAATGTGAGACCCAGGATGGCAGTGAGGGTCTTCAGACAGTCCCCCATTCATGCCCCTCTGTCTGTGACAAAACAGCACCTTGAGCTCTGACTTTACCTGTGGGTTACTGTCTGTGCCCGTGATCGTCAGGCACACCGGGTGAGGTCCAGGCAAGAGGGTGACACAAAACAAGTCCCATTCCTCACTAGAGGACTGAAGCCTGGGGCCAGACTTCCAGCCTCCACCTCAGGGCACCATCTGAATGAGCTAAACTCTGTGGATTGCTCGGAAGACCCATAAAATGGGAATGGTGATCAAAACACAGTGTGTATGAAGGGTTTGAGACAGTGTCAGCACACAGCATATGCTCAACACACATTTGCTCTTACTATCGTTAAATGCACATCACAGACCAGGGGGATGGCATCCATATACTAGTACGACTTAACCTTGAAATACAGAAACCATAACACACTGGGTTAAGAAAAACTAGGTTGCAGGTTCCTCTAGTTGACACAAGGAGATGATGGTCCTTCAGTTAGTGGGTGCATTTCTGTTTGATAATTGACAAGGATAGAGGTAGACACCCGTTTGATGTGAAACACAGAGCCTTAGCAGACATTCCGAGTTGCTCCTCAGAGACAAGCTGTCGCAGTTCCCTGGTTTAAAGGGAGCTGTCCAACAGCGACTGTGGCCTGGCCCTGGCTGTGGGTTACGTCTGGTCTGTTGTTCCTGCAGATGGGGAGTGTTACTGGCATTGCAATTGGAACTGGCCTGGCCTCCGCTTGTGACACGCTAATGTCTCAGGTGAGGACCAGTCTTCCCCTATTTCTTTTGTCAATTACCTGTCCTATTTAGAGACAATCTAGGGGACTATCCACCCTGTAGGTTTTGTTGCTTTTTATTTACCAAATACCACGCTGCTGGTGGCCGCAAATGCGAATGGAGCTAGCTCTCCTAATTCTATCCTCTGGGCCTCTGGCTCAGAGGCCATGTTTTCCTTCTTCTTTCCTGGCAGGTCTTTCCCACTCTGAAACTGTCCTCCCTTGCCCACCACCCGTCTCTGTTCCCTCTCCTCTCCTTCAAGCCAAGTGTCTTGAAAGTGTTTGTAGTGCTCCCACTGCTGACTGTCCCTCAGCTCAGTGCCCACCAGTGTCTCTCCATTCCTGGGCATCCCACCATGTGACCAGATGGACCATCAGGTGAACACTTGGCTATCCGGGGCCCACACGGTCCCACTCCACCCCACGACACTCCCTGGCCTCCACTGTGGCAAGCCCTTCCCAAGTTCTCCGACTTCTCTGGCTGCTCCCTCAGCCTTCCGTGCTTGCTCTACTCCTCCTGCCCCTGAGAGGCCCCACACTCTTCGCCTGTACCACTGCACACCCTCTCCCCAGCTTCCGTCCCGACAGCTCATGTCTCCTTCTCCTGCCCGCGTCGCTGTCCTGTGAGCCACCACATGGCTTATGTCCCTGACATCTCAAATTCAGCCCAACCAGAACCAAGCCCATCAGCTTCCCCACTCTGAACTGTTTTCCTCCAGGGTTCCTCTCACACCTTCTACTCAAGCCACAGTCCTTCATTTCTCACTGTTGACTGTTGATTGACTTTGACCCCTAAATGTTCCTTGAAACTGCTCATTTCTCTCCACCCTTACTGCCCGTCATGGGGTTGTGAGTGCTAGGCTAGCATGCTAGCATAATCAGAGGGAATGCAGATTCTGGTCTGGGCGTTTTACTCCTGGCTCTGTCTTCTTCTGTCTTGCCCACCTTATTCATAAGTAGTGTGGTCTCCCTGCTGGACTCTGAGCTGCATAGAGAGAAGGGCTATATCCTTTTCAGTCTTTGAATCCCTGTGGTTTAGCGCTGTGCTTGCTATATAGCTGGTACCCAATTTGTTGAATGAGTGAGAGGGAGAGAGAGAGGGAAGCAGGAATGGATGGATGGTGGGTGGGTGGTGGGTGGGAGGCTGGAGAGATGGCGGGTGGAGGGTGGATGGTCGAGCAGGTGTGTGGTGGTTGAGTCCTTCGAACCCAACGCCTGAGGCAGTGGGGCTGGGCTGTGTGCCAGGGAAGGAGCAGCCCTAAGCATGTGCCATGTCTCCTAGGCTGTTGCCCTCAGCTCCTCCACAGTGTGTACTGAGGGCATCCAGGGATAATTTTTACAGGCTGAGCTGAACACGGCTCTGAAGGACTTAACGTAAGTTAGGCCAAAATTAGCTCTGAATTAGCATGATCTAGGATATAAAATTTTGTTTTAAAATAGTTTCTTTGCCCCTTTTTTTGCACCATTTCAGTCATTTTTATTCATATACATTTAAAAAAAACTTTTAAACTTATTTCTACACCCCTCAATATATAATGAGCATCCTCCTGTATTATTAACTATACTTCTATAAGGTCACATTATTTCCCAAATTTTAAACAGTTTTTTAAAAGGTTTATAAAGGTCAAAACAAAAAACAGAAACTTTAGAGAAAAGTATTTTTAAAAAAGTGAAAAAAATAACTAAAATTTAACCCCTTTCCCCAATTACCTCTATTAACCTTTTGGTGAACATTGTCCAGATATTTCAATTTATGTAAATTTACATACCCACGCAATTCTAAGACGTACATATGGTTTTATTACTTTTTCTTCCCACTAAACAATGTGTTTGGGGAACACATTGAATGAAGTAGGTATAGCCACTCTCTTTTACTATTTGCACAATATTCTATAATAATGTCATTTATATTGCCAGTATTTTATCATTCTTTAATTTCTTTCCATTGTCCCTTTCAGAGTGCTTTAAGTTAGACTCTTGGTTATGAGAGAGTCAGACATTCAGGTTGCTTGCAGAAAAGGAATCTGGACAATGGTGAGGCCTACACTCTAGCCAGGCCATTGTGGGGACAACGCCCTCACCTCTAGTGGGGCCCGCAACGCCTGACGCCTGCCCTGTCCTTCTATCAACCACCCTCTGCTCTGTCTTGGCCTCCCAGCTGCTGCTCACTTGTGGCTTCTGTCCCCTCATCACTCTGCAGCTTCAGGCAGGTTGTGTCACCTCTCTGCTTAGACCCCTCAGGTGCCCCTGTCTCACTGTGCAGGCTGCTGGGCCTGCTGCCCTCCCCTCTGGTTCCAGCTGCAACAGCCACCGGCCTGAGCCTCTCCCAAGTGCCCACTGGCTCATTTCCCACCCCCCACAGGCCTTTGCCTGACAGTACCTTCCTAGTGAGGCCTCCCCTCCAAAACTGTAGCCCCTTTCTGGATTTGTTTTTCTCCACAGCACTTCCCACCCCACTCTAGACAGTACATTCTTCTAGGTTTTGGTTATTTCTCTCGTTTATTGCCTCTCTTCCTCTCCCTCACCCTCTTGAAAGTCAGCTCCATGAGAGTAAGGATTTCTGCCTGCTTTGTTCACTGCTGAGTTAGTTCACAGGGTCCCAAATACGTCTGGCACATAGGAGTTCAAGAAGTACTTGCTGAATGGATGTGGTAGGTTGTAACATGGGCCCAGTTCTTCCCATGCCTTTTAAGCTCTGGTCTCTGCTGCCAGTGCTCCTGTCCACAGGAGCAGGGGAGTCACCGTCCCAGAGCATGTTTAAAGTGCCCCTGGTGCCAACTAGCTCTCTGGCCACCCTTGGTCGGGCACTGGGGTGGGGAGCCAATGGCAGGAAGCATGGCAGCCTGATGGCGGGAGCAGGGGGGCTGTTTGTAGTGCAGGGACCCAGGCCTGGGCCTGCCAGTGTGCCTTGGCATTCTTTACCATTGTATTTGTTTCCTCAAGTCCTATGGAGGCAAGAACCTAAAGCGTGTGGGGACCATACTCCAGAGAGGAATCCTCATCTTGTTGCTGAGTTGCTTTCCCTGCTGGGCCATCTTCATCAATACTGAGCATATCCTCCTGCTGTTAAATCAAGACCCGGAAGTATCCAGGTCAGCATCATCTCTAATGTCTGAGTTCTAGGTTCAGAGTAAGTGACTGCTGGGCCATCATTCCTGTGCTGACATCCGGACCTGAACCCTTTGGCAAGTGGATGCTGTGATGTGGGCCAGAGAATCCTAGGGCTGCAGGGCCCCCCTGAAGTGTGCCGCCCTGCCCAGAGTGAAAAGGCCAGGCGGAGAACGCAAACCCTGCGCAGGTCTGCCCCGCCCGGAGCTCCTCCGTTCTGCCGTGCCACAGACGCACAGAATACTTCTCCCAGCAGCACTGTTGCTTCACTTCTGTTTTGAGAGTTCCTTTTTTAAACCTGCCATTCCAGCAAGCTCTCTGGTATTGTAGGGTATGTGGGATGCAAGGAGGTGTCTCTCCTTCCCAGGAGACTGTTGGTCTGGCTTCACTGTGCATACAGTTACAGTCCTGCCTCTCTCAAAACATTTCTGAATTTTACCTGACTTTTAGTTCATTTCATGGTGTTCATTCTGCCTTTTCTGCTAAGAATGAGCTGAAAGATGTAAAGTCAGGCGTCCCCTTAGAAAGCAGACATTTAGCAGGCCTACTGTAATGTTGACTTAAGTTGTAGAAAAACAATCACTTAAAATTGTTATTAAATTTCTACCATATAAATACTTTTAAATTTTAAGTTTTAACAATACTCTGGATCCAATTTGAAGATAGCATAACCAGCAGTTGTTTTGATTTTAACCGAAGGCTGTTGTGTTGTTTATTTCAGGATAGCCCAGATTTATGTGATGATTTTTATTCCTGCCCTTCCCATAAGTGTCCAGGATGTTCTTAGGTCTTGTTACGTGAAGCAGCCCATGGGTGTTGTGTGCACGGTGCCCCCTACATTATGTTCGCTTATTGTATCCTTGTGCTGTTGCTACAAAAGCTCAGCACAGATGTCTTGGGCCTGTCGTCCCGCCTTACTGGTTCTCAGAGCCTGTACCTTGTACGTTGTATGTCCAATGACTTCAATTAAATGCAAACACTGATGGGGGCAAGAAATTTCCTTCCTTGGTCTGTGGCTCCTTCAGAGCACAAGTTGATCAGAATGTTCCTTGGGCTCCTCCGGGATTCTGGGGAGCACTGCTAGCGGCACCCTTGGAGCCGTGCAGATGTCAAGAGAGCAAGTGGCTTTACTTCACCTCTGTCAGTTCTCCAGGGCGTCCGCTTTGGGAAATCCTAAATAGTTGGCATTCTCGCCTTTCATTAGTGTGGGTCTGGCTTTCTGAACATGAGGTCGCATATCAAGATGAAATACCTTATGAAAAGCCAGAACTGATTGGAAACTGTTGGAGTTATACTTTTATATGAATGAGATGTTTGTTTTTCTGTTTCATCTTATAGGCCACATTCCTTTTCCAGCTACAGACAAGATATTTACAAAGTCAGGTACAGATTCTTTTTATATTTTTACTCCACAATACTGGAAATGTAAAGTAAGTATTCTTCGGGAATTTTCCATATAAGTAATTCACAATATTTTCTTGAAATTCTACCCAGAGTGCTTTGTTTGGGAGCTGTGCAGCCCAGAAGAGGTGCCATAGCAGTCTGTCAGATTCCTGTCACTTCTTGTTTGTCTCTGCAGCCCCCATACCCTGCTGTCATTTAAAATCATTGCCTATTTAACTCTCGAGTGTCCAGTTGCACACCTGTTTAGGAAGAACTTAGTTTTCCTCCCATGTGGCTCCTTTACTCTCACACTACAGTCACATAGCACTTCTGACACCAGATGTGTGGAGTCACCAACACCCACACCAAGCAATTCAGCTACACCCACTGGGTGCCCTATTATTTAACTCAACTGTGACATTGTCTACCTGGAGATAGTGTCGGTCCTGCAGGTGAAGGGCTCAGCCCCACAAGACTACTTCTGTGGGCTATAGACTGCCCCCACCTGTGCTTCTGGCTGGCTGTAAATCAAGGTTCCCATGACCCCCTCCTCAGGTTCACCTCATGTTCAATTTATTTGCTAGATCAGCTCACAGAACTCAGAGAAACTTTCCTTTTTACCAGTTTATTCCAAGAGGTTATGATAAAGGACACAGGTGAACATCCAGATGGAAGACATGCCTGGGGCGAGGCGTGTGGGAAGGAGCGTGGGGCCTCCCTTACTCTCGGGCCGTCCTGTCTTCCCAGCTCAGCCGTGTGTGCACCAGCCTGCAAGCCTCTGAACCCTGTCCTTTGGGGGTTTTATGGAAGCTTGTTCATGTAGGCGTGATGGATCAGTAACTCCCTTCCAGCTCCTCTTCCCTCTCTAGGGAAGGGATGAGGTGAGCAGCCGCCACCCTGAGTCACCTCACTGGGGCAGAAGGCACTGCTGTTACTTATCCCCAGGAAATTCCAAGGGATTTAGGAACTCTTTGCCAAGAACCAGGTGTCAGTGACAAATAAGGGATCCAGAGCTGCTCCTAGTGCACTTATCACACAGGAAGTTAAGGCGTTTTGGGGCCTCTGTGCTGGAACATGGAGCAGAGACTAGTGTACATGTTCTGTTGTTTCACAACACCTAACTAATTAACTTTAGAAAATGCTAATGTTTTCATATTTGGAGATTGTAGGGCATCATCTTGCCTCAAGTTATTACTGGGATTGTGATGAATATAATCAATGTGGGCATGAATGCCCTCCTGCTGTATGCCCTGGACCTTGGAGTGGTGTAAGTAGTGACCCGTTCATTCAACAAATAGTGTCTGCTGTGTGCTAGGGCTGGGGATACAGGGGAGCGAAGTGGCCGGCAGGGAGTATGAAAGGGTCTGGGTGCTCCATATGTCGGGGTGAGAGTGGGTGCTGTGGAACACCTGGAGACAGCCAGCCCAGGCTAAGTGGGAGGGCGTAGCTGGAGAGATGGGGGAGAATGGTTATGGAAGAAGCCATTTGTGAGCTGACGCCTGCATGGCTGGGTGGAGCTAGCCTGGAGAAGGACGGTGCTTTGGCTGTGAAGATAAGTGGGTGATCCAGGCAAAGGCCAGAGGGGGCAGATGCTGGGAGGGACTCTTCCATTGTCTCTAAATTGTAAGAAATTGTGCCAAATTCCATCTTTATGAAGCTTGAGGAACTGAAGGTCACATAGAAAGCAGTGTCAGCTTGGATCTCCCTTGGGGGTACCAGGCTGAGGGTCTATCCCTCACTCAACACCCTCTCTGGTGCTCTGGCCCAAGGCCAGCCTCTTTTGCACGTGGCTGGTGAGGTCCTGCCAGCCCGCATAGGTTGAGCCCCCAAACAGTGTGTAGGTGCTTTAGGGCAGTGTGTTTCTTTACAAATGGAAACCAGCTTAGTGGGTCATGACCAGTATTTTAAAAAATGAAATGTATTATGAATCAAATAAAATGAAATAGAAAATATAAGGTGGTATGGGGCTATTTTTCAAGAGACTTGTTTCTGTGGGTATGGTGTGTATGCATATTAATGTGGGTAAAGGATAGTAATGGAGAATTCATTTTTTACTGTTATAATAAAAATATATACAGAAGCTGTTTATTAAAGGGTAGTAGACAGTTGGAACTAAGAACAACCAGTGGAAAGCATTTGCAACACCTTTCTTAAGCCAGAAAACTGAAAGAGGTTCTGGCCATGGCAGAGCTGAGGGTCAGCAGACAAGGTTGAGAACTGGTCACGCTGACCCACTTAAGCACCTGCGTGGGCATCCCGGCTCTGCCGCAGGTATGCCTTCCAGGAACACAGAGAAGTATACCTCTTAGAGGTTTCTTGAATGATATATGAAAAACAGTTTGGAGATAGGTGGGTAAGAGGAAAAGAACATATAGGAATGGACTAATGATAAATGTGAGGACTGGTCAGGAGAGTGAACTGAAAAAATAGAAGAGAAAGCAGAGTTCTTGTCTGCATCGTTTCATTTGCAGTGATAAGACGCCATCAATTGTAGAAGCTCTAAGGTTATTTCCTAATAGAAAACACATTTATTATAATTCTGGGAAATAAAACTGCTATGGCCATAGACCATTATTTAGAACACAGTAGCTGTTATATCCTTTCTAGCTAATTATGTTTTAAGAATTTATTTGGTGGATTATTGAAGGCTATTAAGACAATGAATGGTGATAAATACGTCCTTTTGTTTTTCCATTGATGACCAGTAACATTTGGTACTTCTACAAAATTCAAGATTAGCAGAAAGAAAACAAGTCTGGTAACAAGTGGGTAAGGTGTTTAAAATACTAAAAGACGGCCTAGGAGTTCTAGGTTCCCCTAGTAACTGTATTCTTGTCAGGGTGACCTCTTTACTCACATTTGGAAGGAATATACTTTCGATCCTGATCCTTCTCCTTCAGAGGGTCTGCCTGGGCCAACACCACATCCCAGCTTTTCCTGTGTGCTCTTCTCTTCCTGCATGTGTGGTGGAGGAAGATCTACGTCCACACCTGGGGAGGTATGAGGACCCTGATTCATTTTTTTGCTGTTGTTTTTGTTTCTCTGATTGCCTTTTATTTATTTGTTGGTCTGTTTGTTTATTTAAGGTATCATTGATATACAATCTTATGAAGGTCTCGCATGAACAACATTGTGGTTTCAACATTCACCCATATTATCAAGTCCCCCTGCCGCTTTGCAGTCACCTTCTATCAGCATAGTAACATGCTATAGAGAGTCACTGCTTGTCTCCTCCGTGCTGTCCTGCCTTCCCTGTGACCCCCCTATGTTATGTGTGCTGATCGTAATGCCCCTTAATCCCCTTCTCCTTCCCTCCCCACTCTCCCCAACCCCTCCCCTTTGGTAATCGCTAGGAGAACATTGATATCTTGCATATTACATTCCTTACATTACATATTCCTCACATTCTTATGCTATTCAGAAAGATGTCATTTTGGTTCTGGATTTTTCCAGGGAATTTTTGTTTCTTTGTTGTTGTCTTTTGGAAAATTTTCAAGTTGTAGAGAATATTTCAGTTACTGAAAATGTTAGTTTCAGGTTCATATGAAATTTTTTTTAAATGTCCATTGCAAATCATCATACTCTATTAAAACAAAGTTTGACTAATGTCTCATCAACTTAAGTGAACAGACTGAAACTCTTGAGACAATCAGTACCACTTACAACTTAGCTAAATTCCCCTAAATATTCTAATGTTAATTTAGTAAAATAGATTTGGTTGTTTTTGTTTTCTTTTTAAGTTGTGGTAAAAATGTATATAACATAAAATTTGCCATTTTAACCATTTTTAAGTGAAACAATGTCATGCAGCCATCATCACTATCTATTTCTAAAACATTTTTATCGCTCCAAACAGTACTCTGTACCCGTTCAGCAGTAACGCCCCATCTTCCCTCCCACGACCCCCTGGTAACCCTGTACCGACACTTTGCTGAATCATTTATTAGCTCCGGGAGCATGCTGTGGGTTCTTCAGGTGTTTCTAGATATGGGATCAGCCTTGTGCAAACAGAGATCATTTTACTCTTCCTTTCTAGTTTTGATGCCTTTTATCTCTTTTCTTGGCAACTGCTTTGGCTGGAACTTTCAGGTCAATGGCCAGTGCTGGACAGAGGTCGCAAAAGTGAGCATCTTTGTTTTGCTTCTGATTTGAGGGGTAAAGTTCTCAGTCTTTAGTCATTGAGTCTGATGCTATCTGTGGGTTTTTCATAGAAGCCCTTTATCAGGTTGAGGAAGTTGTCTCTATTTCTAGTTTATTGAGTGTTCTTATTCGTAAAAGGATGTAGATTTTGTTAAATGCCTTTGTTTTCCCTTTCATTCCATTAATGTGGTATATCACATTTGGTGATGTTGATCATCGCTTAACATTCCTGGGATACATGTTCCTGGGTGTACAATCCTTTTAATATGCTGCTGGATGTAGTTGGCCAGGATTTTGTTGACTTTTATATCTACATTCATCAGGAATATTGGTCTGTGATTTTCTCTTCTTGTGATGTGTCTGGCTTTGATATCAGAGTAATGCTGGCCACATAGAGTGAGGCAATGAGTTCAGCAGTGTACTTCCTCTTCTATTTTTTGGAAGAATTTGAGAGGGGTTGGTCGCAATTCTTTTTTAAATGTTTGCTTTAATTCACCACTGAAGCCGTCAAGTCCAGGACTCCTCTCTGTGGGAGGTTTTGATTGTTGATCAGTCTTTCTATAGGTTTGTCTAGATATCTTTTCAGTCAGGTTAGGTAACATGTGTTTCTATGAACTTTTCCATTTTGTCTCATAATCTAATTTTTTGGTGTACAACTGTTCACAGTACTCTCTTAAAGTCCTTTTTATTAAGGGGAGCATAGTAATGTCCCCACTGTCATTTCTGACACTAGTTATCTGAGTCTTCCCTTTTTTTCTCTTGCTCAGTCCAACTAAAGTTTTATCAAGTTAGTTGATCTTTTTTTCGAAGAGTCAGGTTTTGGTTGCTTGATCTTCTGTTTTTCTCTTTTCTGTTCCATTGATCTCTGCTTTAATCTTTACTATTTCTGTTCATTTTGATCTGGGTTTAGTGTGCTCTTTCCAGTGTGTAAAATATGGTTATCAGTTTGAGATCTTTCTTCTTTTTCAATGTAGGCATTTACGATAAATTTACGTCAGTACTGCCTTTGTTACATCCCATGTGGTATGCTGTATTTATGTTTTGTTTTGTTTCTTTTCCAATTTTTTTTCCCAATTTCCCTCATCATTTAAGAACATTGCTTAATTTCCACGTATTTGTACATTTTCCAAATTTCCTTCTGTTACTGATTTCTAGTCTTATTCCTTTGTGGTTGGGGAAGATACTTTGTATGATTCAGTCTTTGTAAATGAATTGAAATTTCTTTTGTGGCCTCATACATAGGTGGACTGTTGTGGAGAATGTTTCACATACAGTCAAGAAGAATATGTGTTCTGCTGTTACTGGGTGGTGGTCTGTATGCACCTGCTAGGTCTAGTTGCTTTACAGTGTTGTTTTAACTCCTGTTTCCTTACTGATCTGTCCAGATGTTCTATCCGTTATTGAAAATGGTGTATTTAAGTCTCCAGCTATTTTGTAGAATGAATTCTCTAATTTGTTTGTTTCAAATATTTTGGTGCTCTGTTTTTTGGTGTATAACATGTTTATAGTTGTTATATCTTATCAATGAATTGGTCCTTTTATCAATAATGTCCTTTGTCCCTTGTAAGAGATTTTGACTTAACTGTATTTTGTTTGGCCACCCCAGCTCTCTTGGGGTTACTGTTTGCATGTAATATATTTTGGTATGCTCTCACTTTTTGCCTATTGTCACTTTGTGAGTCGCTTTGTTATTAAAGTGAGTCTCACGTGGACAGCATATAGTTAGATTATGTTTTTTAGTCTAGTCTGTCAATATCTGTTTTTTGATTGGAGAATTTGATCCATTTGTATTTAGTTACTGAGAAGCACTTTGCCATTTAATTTGCTTTCTGTATGTCTTTTACCTTTTTTGCCTCTCATTTCCTTTAGTAGGTCCTTTTTTGTGTTTAGTTGATTATTTTTTATAGTGAACTGTTTTGATTCCATTCTCATTTCCTTTGTCTATATATTTTAGATATTTTCTTCATGGTTACCATGGGGATTATACATAACATCAAAAAATAATTTTATTTGAATTGATACTAACTTAGCATCAAATCTGCTCCTCTACAGCTCTGTCCCCACCCCTTTATGTTGTCACAAGTTTTGTTTATACATGTATGCTCAGTAACAAAGATTTGTAATTTTTTAATGCATTTATCTTTTAACTCATGGAGGAGATGAAAACTTGGAGTCACAAACCAAAACTACAATAAAACTGGCTTTTATATTTGTCCATATATAGTTGCTTAACTGGAGGTTTTTATTTGTCATTCAGCTCTGAGTTACTCTCTAGCGTCCTTTCATTTCAACCTGAAGGAGTCCCTTTAGCATTTCTTTTAGGGCAGATCAGGTGGCAAGAAAATTCCTCAGCTTTTGTTTATCTGGGTATGTTTTAATTTCTCCCTCATTTTTAAAGGATACTTTTGTCAGATACAGAAGTCTTGGCTGACAGTTTTTTCTTTCAGTGATTTAAGTATGTCATTCCACACTGCATTATGGCCTCCATGGTTTCAGATGAGAAACTGGCTGTCAATCTTATCGAGGGTTCCCTGTGTGTGTGAGTCATTTCTCTTTTGCTGCTTTAAAAATTCTCTTTATATTTGATTCTTTTGTGTCTTGCTATGATCTCACTGAGTTTTTCTGACTTGGAGTTCATTGAGATACTTGGACTTACAGATTCACATCTTTCTGGCAGCCAAATCTACCTCCTGTCTATGGACTTGCCTGTTCTGGACATTTCACATTAATGGAACCATACAATATGTGGTTCTTTGTGACTGGTTTAGGTCACTTAGCATAATATTTTCAAGGTTTATCCATGTTGTAGGATATCTTGCCAGTGGGTTTCAGCCCTGGGCAAGTTTGCTATGGATTCAATGTGACTAAAGAAATGACAGTAGAACATTTGTGGGGTGAAAGGGTTTATTACCTGGCTTGTTCTCCCAGTGATAGGTTGAGCACTAGCTTCTCTGCCTCTGCCCAGATCACTGGGCTGAGTTTTCTAATATATATATTATATATATATTTCCATATAATAGCTTACTGCCTACGGGTGTGAAAGCAGTAGCCTACCAACAGGCTAGTTACATCATCAGGTGGTTTAAGTTCAGTGAGGATCCTGGCCATAGGAACCCCAACTTCCCCACACTCCACCCCTCCAGGATTCTCGCCTTATAATCTACATGCTTTCAATCTTCCACAATGGTCCCTGTGTGAGAAAGCTGGAGCATTGTAACCAAGTTCCACAACAGCAACAGAGGATAACAACAACTTAGAGATAATAACAAAAATTAAGATACAGCAAGATTTTGACAGAGGTAACAAAAACTATAATAATCCTCAAGCCAGAGGAGGTTTCCAATCCACAAAGACCTTAGGGGTGATAAGACACATGTTTTAATGACACCAGTGTAGACAAATCTTGTCCATTAGATCTGATGCATGCAAAAAAGTGGTCCTGTGATAGGACCGTAGCAGGAAGGGAGTTCTGTTCAGGTCTAGCATACCATACTTTTACTCTTCTCCCCGTGGGGGTTACTGAGGGGTCTATATATAGTGCTACTAGAGGAGCATGCACTGGCCATAATGATAAAACAAAACTCCCCAGTAAGATGCTCCTACCTTCTTGTCATTGAGGATATACTGCTGTGACCTTTGGTGGCCAGTCTGCTGTTATTCCAGGAATACACAGGAGGCCAGCTTCCAGGCCTTGTCTGCAAGGTGCCAGGAGAGCCAGCCATTGTTGGTCCATGTGTTGAAAGGTCCAAGGCCATGTCTACTCAATGGAGTCTCCAGGGTTTAGTGCAATTGGAGCTGGCAGCAAGATATTATTCTGGTGCCTGAACCTCGGCTTCAGCGAATCTCCCTTGGTTTGTA